GTAGTCTTTTAATTTATTGCAGATCATTTCTATATCGCATAAAATCCCTGACTTCGGTGACAAATTTATCCAAACAAGGTAATATGTTCACAAATTATGCCATCTTTCATCGGAGTTAATATTACGGCAGAATCACCGGATTCGGTGTTTGACGAAACTATGACATCTTTTGTTTGAAGTCATGTCTCTATGCTACAGAATATACATGAGGTCTTCAATAATGTTTTATCTATTATTAAGTAAATATCCATATTGTATTCACTCGTTGAATTAATTAAAATATTATTGATGACTGTTTATCATCTTTTTTTTTCGGTCTTTAAAATAATCTACGTGAATTGAAAAAATATAATATATATACTCGCGTAGTTTAATTTGATGCCCACGTGCATAACTATATATTATTACGTATATGTATAAATTGCTCCCACAAGGTATTTGCTTCACAAACTCTACCAGGGCGGCCTTCAAAAATACGGGTCATGTGGTGGCGCCACCACATGATCCGTATTTTTGAAGGCCACCCTGGTAGAGTTAAAATCATCAGATCATGATAATCCTTTTCTTGTGATTGATATACAGTAGGAATATCTATCAATTTATCAGTTTCATACGTAATTTATTCGATATTTATAAATTCTTGATCAAACTACATTTTCATATTTATACTTTATATGATTCATTTTAAACACTCAACTATATATTATAGCTAGTGATCGATCGATAATATGATTGATCGGTCATTCATTCGATTTTTGAATAAAATAGAATAGCGATAGTTATCTGTTATAATGTTTGTTACATTCGATTCTTATCAAAATTGATCATATTGATAATAATAATAATAAAAAAAACATTCAGTGGTAAACGTAGTAATTAATATGATCACCATTCTAATTATCATTGTCGCTATGACCTATTGACTAATTGTAAATCATGACTTATAACCTGTTACGTTTGACTTATAAAACTTATAAGTATACTATTTATTACATATATATGTTCATCTTGGTTATATAAAGTTGGATATGATCTGACTTGCAGTATGGGTGACCCTTTAATAAGATAAATTATCTGTTATTAATCAATTAATTATAATGTAGGGTCTCTTATATGCAAAAAGATCCACAAGTCTAATCAATTTTGACAAGATCAAAAAATAATTGCATATAAATGATTGGATATTAAAGTCATTATGCTTAGATCTTTAACACAAATTTCCAAGTCTCGTGACCATATTGCGTTCTTCCTAATGTCAAGAACATGAAACAATTAATGTAGATTTGGGTAGTATATTTGGGTAATGAATGTTGTTTCGACCGAAATCTGCCGCAGATTTCTGACATAAGCAACAAAGTACATACATATTTTTATCCATATTTGTTAAGTTGGCAGGTGATCCTAATTTTAAAACGACAACTACCTATTTCAAAAATACACAATTGTTTATTTTAACCGATACAATTTTTTAGATTTTAATAATACCCAATTTTGAGATTCAGTAAAAAAATTATCAAAATGCCACAGCTTTCAACAAAGAGGAAGTTTTTTGATGGTATATATATATGTTTTATTTCGTATTTTTTCATACAAGTCTGTTTAATAAAGTCTGATCTATAACTTTGATTTCTTTTATCTTCATAGAAGATGAATATACACCTGGTTCAAAAGTTAAAAAATCAAAAAAACAGGTAAAACCACCTGTTATAGACAATCAATCTGATGACGATAATTCAAGTGGTTTTCAAGGCTTAAGTACGTTTAAAAAAGCTGATTTAATATTTATCTTGAGTTGCGAAAAATATAATTAACAATACATATATTTTTTTATACAGTACCGAAGAACGCCGTCCTTAATATAAGTAAACTACCGTACAAAGCGTCTTCAAACGGTGTCATTGATTATTCATCAATAAAATTGAAGACCCATCATGCCAGTCGACCGCTTTGGATAAATCCCGGTAATGGCCATATAATCTTGGAAGCATTCTCGCCTTTTGCTGAAAAGGCCCAAGATTTTCTAATAACTATAAGTGAACCTGTCAGTAGGTGTGTAAATCAATTTTATTTTAAGTAATTAAAATAAAAAATATATTCTGATCTTCATTGAAAATTATATAGACCTTCTCTTATACATGAGTACAAAATGACTCCTTATTCACTTTATGCTGCTGTTTCCGTGGGTTTAGAAACAGAAGCTATAATTGACGTTCTAAAGATTCTTTCAAAGGCATGTCTATGCTGAATTTATTCTGTTTTATTATTTTCAGGAAAAAATTCAGTTATTAAAAGTAACTATCTTTAGACTGAAATTCCTGAGTCTGTCACTGAAATGATACGTGAATGTACGATATCATATGGCAAGGTAAAGCTTCTACTGAAGCAAAATCGTTACTTCGTGGAATCTTCTCATCCCGAAGTTTTACAAATGCTTTTGCGAGATCCTGCCATTGCAGAAGCTAGAATAAATAATGATGAATCTGTCCAAGACTCTTTTATAACAAATAAAGCTCCAACTAGTAAAGATTTAGTAATTCCGGGCAAAAGTATGCCTACTACTGATGCTGATAATAAAACTAAAGAAAATAACCCTCAAGATGATGAGTTATTATTTAATACTGTTGTTGCGATTGACAAAGGTAAAATATACATAAAAATTATTTATCAAGTTCTGCACACACACACACATATATATATATATATACATATATATTAAATCTTTTTTCAGAGGATGAAGAAGAAGATGAAGATGAAGTTCATTCATTTGAAATTCGTTCTGAAAAATTTGAGGTAAATTGTTTTACATTTATTTTATTTTGGTTATTATTCTAGTTATTTTAATTATTTTAGGGTACAAATAATAAAATTTATATTCGATCATGATTTTAGAACGTAAAGAAAAGATGTAATGAACTTAATTATCCAATGTTGGAAGAATATGATTTTCGAAATGATGCAACTCTTGCTCCACTCGAAATTGATCTGAAACCTATTACAGTCATTCGTCCATATCAGGAAAAGTGTTTGAGCAAGATGTTTGGAAACGGGTATGTTTGTATTCCTATTTGATTTACATTGATCCGTAATGTCTTAGTTGAGAAAAAAAATAATAAATTAAATATTTGATCTATATTTTTTAAATATTATAAATTTAGACGTGCGAGGTCTGGTATCATCGTCTTGCCATGTGGTGCTGGTAAAACCCTTGTAGGCATAACAGCCGCATGCACTATTAAAAAGAGCTGTCTCGTTCTTTGCACCTCGGCGTTAGTATTTGTATATGTGTGATATTATCTGCTTTGGTGAAGGAGTTTTTATATTCAAATATAAACTTTTTTCAGAGTTTCAGTAATGCAATGGAAACAGCAATTCTTACAGTGGTCAAATATTAAAGAAAGTCAAATTTCTGTTTTCACTTCAGATCAAAAAGAAAAAGTAAGAATTTTAATTTTAATTTTAATTTTATATTAGGTTTATATATTTTTTTTGAAATCATTCAAATCATTCTTTATCAAACTTAATATATTGGTAAATAAAGTTTATAGGACAATCTGGTATCGTGATTTCCACATACAGTATGGTAGCTAATACACGAACAAGGTCTTATGAGGCATCAAAAATGATGGATTTTATAACTGGCCGTGAATGGGGCTTTATATTATTAGATGAAGTTCATGTCGTACCTGCTAACATGTTTCGTAGAGTTGTAACCACTATTGCTGCTCACACAAAGCTTGGACTAACTGCAACCTTAGTACGTGAAGATGATAAGATTCAGGACTTGAACTTTTTGATTGGTCCCAAATTATATGAAGCAAATTGGATGGATTTGGCGTCTAAAGGACACATAGCCAATGTGCAATGTGCTGAAGTTTGGTGTGACATGACTCCTGAATTTTACGCTGAATACCTTAAAGCTTCTTCAAGAAAACGCATGTTATTATATGCAATGAATCCAAATAAACTCCAAGCTTGTCAATTCTTAATTCAGTATCACGAAGAAAGAGGTGACAAAGTTATTGTATTTTCGGATAATGTATATGCTTTAGAGGTAAATTGTCTTTTGATAAATTTTGTTTAAACCATATTTAATTTTGTCTTGAACTTGTTCATTTATTTTGTTATATATATATATATATATTTTTTTTTTTTAGAAATATGCTAGATTGCTTGGTGTTCCGTTCATTCACGGAAAAACAAAACCTCCAGAGAGAATGTATATTCTTTCAAAATTTCAGCACGATTCCGCAACCAATACAATCTTCTTATCCAAGGTATATTAAACTTTACTACTAATTCTCATACAAATATAAAATATAAACACTGCCTATTAATTATTAGGTTGGTGATACTTCTATTGATTTGCCTGAAGCGACGTGTTTAATTCAGATTTCATCACATTACGGGTCTAGACGTCAAGAAGCACAACGCTTAGGTAAGAAATATATATATATACATTTTTTATAAATTTTTATAAATTATTAGCTTATCGATAATACTAATTATTGACATTCTATAGGACGTATTCTAAGAGCAAAACGACGTAATGATGAAGGGTTTAATGCTTTCTTCTATTCATTAGTATCAAGGGATACACAAGAGATGTTTTATTCTACTAAACGGCAACAATTTCTGATTGACCAAGGATATGCATTTAAAGTAATCACCAAACTTGAAGGCATGGAAAAGGCATCGGGATTAGTATATAGAGATCATAATGAACAAATGAAACTTTTAGGGGAGGTACTAGTTGCTAATGATAATGTAGCCGATCTTGATAATGACATAGAATCTAATGCTGATGATTTGCCGGGAACTGTTACAAGTCGTAACTTCAATTCTCAAGCGAAGGGAATAGTTCGCCGTTCTGTCGGTACTATGAAAAGTTTGTCTGGTGCTGATCATATGGCATATTTTGAAGGTAATAGCGGCCATAGTAAACCCAGTGGTTCGGTACCAAAAAAGAAAGCTCCTGCCAAAGAACATCATCCATTATTTAAGAGACAATGGATGAGAAAGTAGATTAAAAAAAAAAAAATTTAGAGTTACACATTTTTTTCTTAGTATGAACAATAAATAGCAGCGGTGCCCTATGCTAAGCAAAAAAATCGGGCCTCCGAACCTAAAATTTTTGGTTTGGAAAATAAAAATAGTGAAATTGTGAATAGTATTTCATTATATAAACTAGCTCAGACCTCAAATAAAAAGCTACAGATGAAATTTTGCCTAGGATGTTTATTCATATATAGCAATATATATTCTAAATATTTGTATTTTGATTAGAAAGTCATAAGTGTATGGGTTTTTATATCACTTATAATTTTTTAGATGTTATAATTCAAAATCAAATTGAAATAAAAATAGTGTGATACTATTTAGATCCCACATTTAATTCGTGCTTTCCTGTGTAATATACCATTCTAGCAGATATCGATATTGTTCACTAATACGTTTAGCTTGGCGATTTATGTAAAGCATATTTTATTTATCTTTGAACCTCAAAATATTTTTACTTGACAGAAAATCTACTATATAAGATAATCTTTGGAATTCACATTTAAAAATTTTAAAACCACTGGTTATATGACATCTGGCTATTGGCTATACCGATATTTTTAAAATTTAGAACCTATATACATAAGATGAAAATGCCTCTGGTTAACCCGACATTTAGATTTTTTTTTTTTGAAGTGTCAATATAACTAGTGTCGTGTACTGCAATTTTTAGTAATAAAAAATATTTAAAGTTTAGAAATTTTTATTTTTACTAAAAGAAACAAATCTTTAACTTTTTTTTTAAAAAAAAACAAATTTCTATTTGTATGCTAGTGTATAAAACACGTAATAATTCAAATATTATTTTATAAAACCAATATTTGGGTTTTAATAAAAAAATCTTTTATGAAATTTTAGTATAAACCCAATTTTAACTCTTATTTATATTAATCTAATTTGATTTTTTTTTAAATTGTTCTATTAGTTTACAAATATATTTATGTTTATATATATATATTTTTTAAATATTAAGGTGAGTACTTGCAACCTAGGCTTTTATTGATAGTATGTTTCAGTTTTGTAATCGTATTATATAATCACAGGAGGCAACCATAAGAAGAGTGTACATTTAGTTATTTGTACAACTTTAGTTATTATCTAATTTAAGTAGTTCACCCAAAGGTTTTATATTAGCTATTATACCTAGAACCATCTGTGAGTCTTTTATTTAAACATTCTGGTTTTTATATCTACTTACCTATTTATCTTACTAACTGTTTCAATGCAAATATACTATGATTATTAGGTTTTTAAAACAGTTTACTTATATATGGAACCTTAGATCTTGTATTAAACTTATTAGAGTTTTTTATTATTTAATTGTTAGTTAATCTAGTATTATTATAATCAAAACTAATACTTGTAGTCAGAGAACTCTTAAACTGTTATATCTTTGTAAAGTTTATATAATTCCAGTATCTTCTTTTACAAACTTATTGATATTTTGTATATTCTTGCAAATTTTTTTATATCAATTTAGTTAGTTTTATATAATATAATTTTATATTTAGTTTAACTGATAGTCAGATTGATAAACCTCTTTATTTAGAGTTCTTACTTAGACAAATTATCTGTCTTTGGTTTTTTTTTTCAAAACAAGATTTTTACAAATAGTATTATCAAAGATTGTATTACTTTTCTACTTAGCATTTTTAAATAAAATTTTTTATAAAGTATATACTTTTTAAATTTATTTATATAATATTGCATAATCTTAAAGTTAGTTTTAGTACAATCAGAATTACAAAGTTACAAGTTTAGATATTCTAATTAAGATGTTAAAATAGAATCATTTTTCAAAATTCTATTACCAATAAAATTTGAACTCTAAACCTATTACTTGAAGAATAACAATCCAATTACTATTATTTTTTAAAATATATTCTAGACAAATTTGTCTAAAAAACTGAATTATATTTAGTTTTTTTTTTATATTAATAATAAGACTATGTTTTTATTAAATATTTAATAGAGTTTTTTATATAATACATAAATCTATTTTTAAAATATTATAAAAAGAAAAAAATTCAAACTAATTTATTTATAATCTAAATTAATTAAAGTAGTCAAAATTCACTTAAATTTGAATATTAGTAATTATATATAAAAAATTAGTTTAATATCTATTTAACCTATTATATATATTAAAAATTTATCTTAAAGTTAATAGTATTAAAAAAAAAAGTTAAAATAAGTATAAAAGAGAATTAGAAAATAAATTATATATAAAGTAATGAATTATAAATTTTGAAATATAGTAAAAGATCTAAATTTTATAATAAACTTGCTGATTAAAATAAAATAAAAATTTAATAATAAATTTTATATAATATTTAGTATTTTTTTTAATAATTATTTGAATTAAACTTTTCAAAAAATTGAATTATAAACAAATAATATAGTTAATATATTAAAATTTATAAAAACTTTTCTAATATATTGTATACATATAGTTAGATATTAAAATAGAGTTAAAAAAGAGTTACAGTTTTGTAATAATAATTTAAAGTATATTAAGACTATAAAAAAAATAGTTAATGAAAGTCAAAGTTTTTTATTAAATAAATAACTAACTTAAATATATATATATTTTTTTTTAGTATTAAAGTAACTTCTTTGGTCTTTTAACTTTTATTAATAACTTATTAGTAATGTAATTCTATGAATCACTATAGAAAAGAGTATAATTGGCTATATATATAATTTTTTTATATTACTTAGTTAAGAAGTCTGCTCAAAGATTTCTTACCAATTACTATATTTAACACTTTTGCTTAGATGTTTCACTTTAAATCTCTGAATCTGTAATTTGTATTAACTTACTAAAAGCCTTGAGAATAACAAAAATAAGCTGGCTTAAAGAAAAAATAATTGACAAGTAGACAGAAAAACTTAGATCAATAAGTTACAATTCAAGCTCATTTGAATACAATACAAATATGAAAGAAGAAAAAGTATATTAAAAAAAAAATAAAAGAGAAAAGATAAGAATTTTAGTTGAAACTAACAAAACAAAAGATTTTATCAATAAAAAACAGAATCAAAAAAAAGAAACAATCATAAAAAGTTAGAGCAGAGATTAGAAATACTAAAAGAACAAATAAAAGGGCTTAGCATTACTACATTGCAATATCAAATAAGTTAAAATATTAATGACTTTGAATATCAAAAAAAAATATTAACAAAAAGCAAAAAAATAAAATTATAAATTATAAATATAAAAGTAACAAAACAAGAAAAGAAATAAATAATAAAGAGAATGAAACAATGTTTTTTATAAGTTTAATCAAGTACAGTTATTAGCCTCTAGAAAATTAAATATATAATAAAAATAAGTCTTTTAAAGCAAATATGCCAACATATGTCTTATTAGAAGAAACCAAAAAAGAAAGAGTAAAATATGTTTAGTAAATACTAGAAAAAAATTATTATATTAAAACAATCAAAGAAGTATTTAAAAATAAAAACAATTAAATAGAAGTAGATTTTGATTGTGAACATAGTAAAGACATAGCAATAAACAAGATTAAGAAAAAGAAAAAAGAATAGCTAAAACTTATACTAAAAAAACCCAAAAACAAAACTCAAAATATAGAATAGCAAAAGGAGTGTAATACTAAGAGAAAAAAAGAAAAAAGTACAAAACAAACGAAAAGTAAAAGGACAATGAAATGAAAGAGTCAAATGTTAAAATTAGAAAAAAGAAAAAAAAAGAATACAAGAATACAAGTCAAACAAGAATGAAATTTAAAAATACAAAAAGCTTTCAAACAAAAAAAAATTTGAAAGCAAATAACTATCTAATAATTTAGGATTTGACAATAAATATCAATACAGAAAAAGTAAAACACATATGCAGAAACATCAAAGATGCCAAAATTAACTAAATCAAAAGGTTCAAATACAAAGCCTTGGCAATAATATATACTAAGAACTTAAAAGAAGAAAAAATTTCATGGGTCTTGCCAATTGGTATATATAAACTAATAAGAATGTTCAAGGGTAATGAAGATTACAGCTTATAAGATTTTTTTTTTTTTTCAGTATTAAGGTGACCTCTTTGGTCCAAGCTTTTTATTAATACTTATAGTAGGTACATGTTTTATATAGATGTATCTATAATGAACTATTAGACGAGTGTACAACTGGCTACACATGTAACTTTTCTATATTACCTATTTAAGGAGTCCGCCCGAGGGTTCCTTACCAGTTGCCGTACCTAACACCTCTGCTTAAATGTTCTATTTAAACCCTCTGATCTAACCCTAGTATTAATTTCACCAGATTACAGACCCGGATCTATTCGCATTCGACCATAGAACTATAATCCTTAGACTATTTTTATCCTTGAGGTAAACCTACCAGAGCGAGCTGTATTCCCTTTTACCGCTAACCTGGTTTGACACTATGACCGAGGCCAATACTTGCAGTCAGAGTTACCCCTTAAGCCGCTATTATCCTTGTAAAGTTTACTCAAACTCTGGTATCCATCTTTCCGACTTCTTCTTCATCATCTCCTACTAGCCGCAACTCAGAACTAACCGACTCTCCAGACTTCCAATCCAGATAGCCCGGTATGGTATACTTATGTATCCTTTTCCTCTGGCAATTCTGGCGGCCTGGTTGGTCATATGCTCCTCTATATATTTTGATATCTGGTTTATCCGCCTATCCCTTTGGGAGTGTTTTATTGGTTTCCATCAGTCTGATCATATTATCGAAAGTTCATGCTATCTCTTTACTTGGAAATTTTCAAGTGGGCTTCTGACTCTTTAGTTCCTTAGTTTACTGTGCCTGGTGGTCTTATCATGGGTTTGCACTGAAGTCTTATACAACACCAGTTATTAACATTCCTCTATATATGTGTAATATTATACTTGGCATAGATGCCCCAAGCTTCTATTTGGGATAGTGCGACTTAAGGTTACAGATACACAAATCCAACCGATTGTTAAGAGACAGTTTGC